TGACCGCAACACACCCCCGGTCTTAGATTTCCCCCAGGAAATGTATGTCCTGTACTGCCAGCCCTCTCCTGCACTGTACAAGCTGTACTGGGTCCAATATTTCTTTAAAAGGAATAATATGAACACAACTTGCCACCCCAAATGGAGTTTCCCAGTTAAACACACTGGACTAGATATAACAATAAATCAAGTTTATGAACGACAAAGAGAGAGATTTGAAGTGAGTACAAGTAATGAGGCCTAAAAGTCAGAAATGGTTACAAGGAAAATAAAGATAAAATGCTACTGGTGCCTCACTCAGCAAACTGTTACATTCAAAGCAAAGTTCTCTCATCACAGGCTTTCAGCTGCCTTACTGGCCAAACTTTTTAGGTCAGGAGCCCTCCCCCAGTCCAACGGCTGCTTCCTTTGTCCCTGCAGATGCAGGAAATCGATGGGCAGAGAGAGAGGGACGGGTGACTAGGGGCGTTTGCCCCTCCTTTTTATAGTTTCACCTCTTTGAGAAGCATTTCCAGCTGGGTACCAGGAGACAAACAGTCTAGGGGGAAGGATGTTCCCTGCTGCTTTTTTCCTCACTGGTTTGAGTGTCCTTTGTTTCCTGTCCTCCTCTGTTTACTGCTTAAATGCAAATTAAGCAGGGCACACATTCCTTGGTTTGAGAACAGACCTGTTTGCCAGCTTCTGTTTGGGACACCTGTTAATACCACCATATAGTGGAATCTTATAACTTCACGTATAATGTTGCCACACATATTTTTCCAAGACAATAATGAGCAGCAAATTATGAGATTTTTAATGACACCTCCCATGACAGACCTTGTACAAAGATTCTCACAGTAGTGTGCAGGCTGTGAATACAGGGGTACATTCTGTCACACAGAGTCACGTATCCACTGGCCTCCTTCTGTACCTGAAACTCCCCTGCATGCTGGGATGGAGGTACACAGGGGGTGTGGGGAATGTATCTGTGCAGGCTCCCTGCACCCTGCCACCTCCATGAAACAGGGTCTCTCTGGGTCTCCTATCATAACTCTGCACCCCTCTGGGGGTGACGAAGAATCATCCCTTCAATGAGTGAAAGCCAATTTCAAAGTGGGACTTGGCCACCCAGGGTCACAAAGCCAGCCCCAACCAGAGAGAGCTGAGAGGGGAGTCAGGGCATCACTCACTGCCTGGCTTCTTCACGAAGAAAGAACGGGCATCAAGAGGGAGCGGGATGCTGCCAGCTAGCCAGCGCCCCAGACAGCTGCTGTGTAGGTCGATGGCCAAGTGGAGGAGGAGAAGGGTGGGGAATGGAGAAACTGGAACTGCCCCAGAGATGGAATTTCATCTAACGACTCCTGCTCCTTGTTTCTTCTCTTTCCTTTTAGGTTTCTCTTTCCTCTCTGTCAGTCTGCCTGGCTGTTTCTTCTAACTGTTGTTTGCCGTGTTGCAGCCATATTGGTCCCAGGATATTAGAGAGACAAGGTGGATGAGACAATATCTTATCTGTTCTATCTGACTGTGGCAATCAGCTGGGATGATGCTGGGCAACCCTGCGCAGAGGGGGGAAGAGATGGAATTCACAGGGAGAGATGCTCAGCTTTGCGAAATACCTCACTTATACCCTGGGCTCTGCGGCCACCACAGCTCCCAGCAGGGCACAGGGGGGAGGGAGGTTTTTGTATCACTTCCCCATCTGACTGTATCACTGTGATGAGCACTCCCAGCCCACACACAACAGTAATAATCAGCATCATCCTCCGCCAGGGCCCCCTTGATGGTCAAGGACATGGTGTTACCCGATCTGGAGCCAGTGAAACGCTCTGGGATCCCCGAGGGCCTGGTACTCGTGCTGTGCATGATCAGCCGAGGAACATTCCCCAGTCTCTGTTGAACCCAGAGTGGGTGGTTGTTATCAGCGATGGCCCCACTGCTCAGGCTGCAGGAGAGGGTCACGGTCCCTCCAGGAGACACGAACTCGGACGCCTTCAGCGACTGGAGTTGCTGGGAACTGAAACCTGAAACATGAGAAACAAGCTCATCAGAACTCCCCCTAGCACGGAGCAGAACCGACGTTCTCAGCGCCGCCTGCAGAGAGAGCAGCGCTACAGCTTGTTATAAATTCTTATTTTGCTTCATTCACCAGATCAAACCCCCCCTTACCAATGCAGTAAGTGAGCAGCGCGAGGAGCAGAGGGGCCCAGGCCATGGTGGGAATCCAGAGGATCACGTCTCTCTTCCAGGAACCCTCCGATTCTCTCTTAAATCCCCAGAGCTGAAGAACGGCCCCTTCATGCAAATCTCTTGCTCACTCAGTGGCTCCCCCTGCTTATAGCTCTGTCCTAAAGGGGCCGAGCCAACCCAAGAGAGGTTGTTTCACTGGGCTGAGAGCACAGAGCAGGCCAAGCTCCCCTCTGTGCGCTCTTGGGGTTACTGGGGGCCCTGCTTTAGAGAGTGACAAGCTTCCCACCTGTCTGAGGAGCTGGTGGATTCCCCTGGTTCCAACTGTGACTCACAGCAGCTGCTAGGACACATTCCCCTGTCCAGCAGCAGCAAATGTTTTACCACAGAGACACCCTCGCTGTCATCCGTTCAGCTCCCGTGGCACAGGGCCGCTGGGAATGAGCTCTGCGCTCCGTTCCATCACCGGTCACTCCGGCTGCAGCCAGACAGGGCGTAGGGCTGTTCTGTACAAGAGTCTCCTATTCCAAACCTGACCTGGGAGGCATCAGTTATCCCAGTCACAGGCCTCGGCCCTGTTTTACCGTCCCCGATCTGGAACAGTTCTGCTCCAACAGTCCTCAGCCTTTCTAACCCTGTGATCACTTTGTATTGGGTGTAACTGGGAACACCGGTGGAACCACCAAACAGGTTTTCAATTGTGACATAATCAGGATTTGAACTCGTGTCTCCAGGGGTGAAAGAAAAATTGTCAGATTATCATAGGGTTACCATACGTCCTCTTTTTCCCGGACATGTCCGG